ATGATCACATCCGTGTTATTTGTGCCGTGTGGCGGCTGTAAAAAGTCTCCCCGTACATTTAATCAATGATGTTATATTTTCGATCCTTAAAGATCGTTCAGCACGACATTATTGTTGTGCTTGTGGTATTTTTAATTTCAACTTTTCGGCATTTTCTTGTTCGGTGGTTCCAATATTCCTACTTGAATAATGTTTAATCACCCTTAGGATATGTTGCCTGCTTTTTAAATTTGTCTTTTGACGTCTTATCTGTGATACGCAGGCTTCATAACCTCTGATCCCCTTTCAAAATTCCATTTTCTTTAGTTCCGCCCATTGTTTTCTCGTTTAGGGCACACGCTTTTTATTACCTGGGGACCATACTGGGGACATTTGTATTTGTCTATTTTGTGTAAACAAACTTGGCTGACAAAGCGGAATCACCTATGTGAGGGTCCATCCACTGGCAAGGCTACAAATGTTCGAGTCCGGACCACCGAACATGTCACCATTCATACCAATATCAAAAAATGGTATGCTGTACCAATAACGCTAATGAAATGTAACCTAATATACTAAAGTTTAATTACTTCAAAACAACCAATATATCAACATGTTATTATTAAACATTTAATTTCATAAATATAAATTAAAAATAATTATCAAAAGCAAAATTGTTAAAATATTTTGCCTGAAATCTTCTTTATATTGACAAATTCAATCACTAATAGTATACTTGATATGCTGTGTGTAAATGTATTTCAAAATGTAACAAATTATAATTGCATGTACTACTAAAAAGGGAAATAACAAATGTATAACATTTATAGCTATTTATAGCTTTCGAATTTATGTAACAGCAGAACTGCTTTCCGGATCTCATTCATTAATATGACATGCTGCGAATCATCGACGGGGAAACCAATATAGAAATCGAAAGGAGTTCTTGAATGCGGATTTACTTTTAGCTGTTAATCGAAAGGATTTATTGCTCAAATCCGGGCCCATGGACAAAAAAAATAGTAAACACAAATAGCTCCGCGCCTGTGGGCGCGGAGCAATAAGTATATTAGGCAGCTTACTTTTCCTTAGTTACTCATTGGAAGACATGAATTCGAGTGTAGTTGTATAGTAAACAAATAGTGTAAATGTATATGAACATTTGCACAATATAAACAATATATAATTTAAAACTAGATCTTTTTATTTCATTAACATGATATTTGACTTCATGAAAGCTTTGATTAATGATCGTTGCAAACTGCCTGATGGTGAACTGTACCAAAAGGGTTGATTTTATCATCATACGTGCTGATTGTATCGACATCACGAGTCATCAATGTCATAAAACAAAAACATCTTCTTGTTATGATGTGTGTGCGTTTGTGGTGGGCTTTTCTTAGTTTTATAGAGTCACGTCACAATTGCAAATGTTTCTGAAATTTGTAACACATTTCAAGACTCATTTTGCAACTTAAATTCAGCCCTTGTAATCTTACTGGTGATTATTTTTGGACATTTCTTAAATCTAAAATCAGAATTAACCCGCAAACCCTTCAGACCGGCATAATTTGCAACAAAGTTGTTTACACTAAATTTGACATATGTACTGTAACATTCCTCATTATGTTATTCAATCAAAGTTCCTAAATCAGCTCATCGGTACTCAGTATATAACCGCAAGCAAGACTCAAACAAGTAAGACAAATAAAAAGCATGATTTAATAGTATATGTAGATTTTATGTATGCACGCTTCCCTCCGTGATAAAGTTATCATCATTTTAATGATAAATTAGTGTTTTCATCCGTATAGACGGTGAAATTATATTTTCAAAATAAATATTAATATACAAAAAGAATATTTAAAAAATCTTAAATTAAAAGTAAGTTTGGCATTCCGTCTATTCGTCCCTCTGTTCGTTCGAATCCAAAAATGGATACATGGGTAAGTATGTATAAAGTTAATACATAAACTTTTTAAAAGTGAACTGTTTAAATGCGTTCCATTCGGTAGGGTTTTACTTTCAGTTTGTTAAAATCTTGACTTAGGTCTGACGTTCGAACTTAAATGTGAAGTCTAATCAGACGATCTGCTTAGCGAAGATTTGGATTATTAAGGTTTAAATATACATGTTAATAGGAGCATAATACAAAAAGAAACAAAAACAATTGTGACGGGTTCCTGTCACCTATTTGCTCGAATAGTAGTATAAGTGCCTAAGTTCGTCCGTTATTAACTGACAGGTAAATAATTCGGTGGCTATATGAAACTTAGTTTTATGTTATAGTGATAACATTGCTACTGTAAGTGGTTGAAATAGTATTTGCGAGTATAAATTGATATAGATAGATGTGTAAGTGGAAGTCGTCTTAGAAGATTCTGTAATATCTTGATATCTCGGGCTGACAGCGATAGTAGTGGTAGTGATAATATTGGTAGCGGTTGTGATATTGTAGCAGTAGTTTAGATAGTCATGCATTCTGAAAGTACAATGAAATGCAGATCAAAGAGACTGTTTTATTTTTTAGTAATGAAAATTGTAGTCGTATTATAATGTTTCACCTAACATTTTACATTCAAATAATATACATGTAGTAGCAAAAATGTTCTTGTGACAACAAGGATTCAATTTATGTTTCCTATGGTTTGTCAAAGACCTCTTTCAGATGTCAAGAACGTGCAAACCATCCATCATATCTATCACACCAGTAAGACAAATTATGTAGTTTGTGCCAAATATGCCCCTGAAGCGTAAATGAAAGAGATGTGAGCACCGCCATTTCTTGTACTGGGACTTGACGCAGTAGGGATGTAGCTATTATTGAGTAATATAAGACTAAGGCAGGCATAACTTTTTATGTAAATATTATTCAGTTAGAGTACCATAAATGAACGTATTATCTTAGTTGCTCATATTAGAATAGTCCGTTTTATAAAAACGAATTTTACGTTAATTTATTATTTAAAAGCTATGTCATCTTTGTTAATAAAGGTATTTCCTTTTAGAAGAAAACAAACCAAAGCAGGCAATGAAAGCGCTCGATTCTTCATTACAAATGAAAATGACAGGCTGTGGAAAAGAATATAAAACTTTCAATGTGTAGTAAATTTTATATATTGGCTAGTGAAAAAAAAACAAATAAAAAAGTCTTTAAGTGCAAAAAACAGGAACACCAGGTTGAGACTAGGTATGTAGAAAGAGGAATATGTTTTGATTATGAATTCGAATATGCTCTCTTTTTTGCAAAGAAGACACCAAATAAGAGCTTTTTGGGAAAACCACATGCCGGGCCTAGATTTATTTTGATTACATGTTTTTCAAAACAGTTTACTCATTCACTCTCTTTTATGGGAGAAAAATTCCTAAAGATATTAAGTTAACACATTATGAAATGTAATTGTTAACTTGAGTCATTGCCTTTTTGTCATTGTAAGTTGGCATGCCATTGCTAGTTGGTGAAGTTAAAAAGTATTCAACATACAGATAGAAATAAATCAAAGATAGAGAATGCATGACATTGACCTTGAAACAACTGATTCCAAACTCGAGCTTAAATAGTGAACTACAAAAGTTATATTCTGATAACAATATGAAAGACATTGTTCACAAACTTAAGGCTGTATTAGCAGTGTTTTATGGTATAGAAAAATATGTTTTATAGATTAGAATAACATATATATTGTTCGCTCAGGCGACGTTGACCTCGTGTTTGTTCAAAATCTGGACCATCCAAGGTATGCTCACGTTTAGCATAAAGTACATATTTCAATAATTAAATACTCTTTGAGTACTAACCGTGACAAAACCTAACTTCACCCAAATGATGAGTACCACAAAAATAGCCTTCAACGAAATATAAAAGACATCTGGCAATAAATGTAAATTGTATAAATAAAACTGTGGAAGTCTGGTTTTAGCACTGGTAACTTAGATCCCTAGTGACCCCTTAATCCACTCAAGCATAGAAACGTAGAAAACTACCCAAATAATGTTCCTACTGAATATAACAGAGACCTGTTAATAAAAATCCATCATAAGGAAATTATAAAATCTACTCTTGACATTGGTGATCTTGATTTTGACCCAAAGAGCAGATACTCAACACAAATACAGATAACCACCCAACCCTGGCATGTCCGTTTGTATTTATTAATAATTATGCAAATTCTTAAGCTATTGGATCAAGTAGAACTTGTAATTTATTTATCATGTCGACTTAGGTAAACCATATTTTTTTTTAAAAAAAGAAGCGATTGGTACTGATTGAACTTTAGATAATTATACAACTTGCCGGTTTAATTTATGTTAACATTTTACTTACGGTCAGACTGACGGGCGGACCAATTTCTATATTCCTTAAGCCATTAACATGCGAACTATGCATTTTATGCGGCTAAATCAATAGAAGAGAAAGCCCGGTTACTCAAAAATGTAAAGATTTATTGTCACTGACACTATTATGTAAATAAAGTATAAGAAATTATTAATGTTTTTTGCTATTGCTATTCACTATGATTAAAAAGAATGTACGATTATATTGATAATTATCTGAAATATTAAAGATCATCAAATATTAAGTTCAGCGAATTACACATAAATATCATTTAGTAACTTCAGAATAGTCTTCCAAATAAGTTTTTAATTTTTACTTTCAATATTTAAATCTCGAAACATAAACTCTTAAAGCTAACAGTTTCATCTTTTTCATAATATCATGATCACCGCTTACATTAAAAGTTAAATGATTTTATAAAAGTTATTTTAAACTTATTGTGGTCTATCACAAGTATCATATATTGACATGCTCAATTAAGTTCAGTAAAATGTTAAGATTTCCTTTAAAAGATATAATATTAATTGTATTCCCGAAAAAAAAACTGGATACCATAAAAATGTTTGTGAAAGAAGAGATAATGCAGGGCTTCTTTCATTGTCTATATATATTATTTAAAGTTATTATAAGACCTTTTTTAAAACAAATATATATATAACTGTAATACATGCATATAATCTTATTTTACAGGTGTATTCCTACAAGAATTAACACCGACAACTGTTGATGTAATTGAAAACTCTAGTGTCGCTTTGACATGCTCATTAACTGGTGACCAATCGGCATGGAACATAAATGATAATGCCGTTAAATGGGGGTTAATATACATATCAACCGACGGGACATGTCAGGCATCTGGCTTTGTCAATAACAGTTCATTATATTCATGGAATTGTTATAGGAATGGAAGCTTTACTTTAACATTGATTAAAGTAGATAGATCACAACATGGAAAGATTTGGACGTGCAAGCAGGGATTTTCGTTAAGTAATCGAGTAGTTATCAATGTGAAAGGTATGGTTTTTTTTTGCTCCTTCATTTTACATGTTAGGCAAGTCGTTTCTTGGGAGATAACTGTAAATACCCTTTTAGAGAGAATACTAAAATGTAATTGTATATATATGCATACAACGTCTTTATTACACTACAAATCAAGTAAAAAGACAGTCAAAATATTCATAATTTACAATGCATTTTTACTGATATATTCAATTGCAATTTAATAATTACTTTACGAAAGAGATTTGGAAAGGGGAGATTCCTCGGATGAAAGCTGCATATTCGGTTTCACTTAATCTGTTCTTTAGGATGATGGAAAACTTTAACACCCATAACAACCGTTAGCAAAAGCGGCATTCAATCTTCAACACTAAAATGATTTTTATCAATAATCCTGAAGTATCAGAAAAAATATATCAACGCAAAAATGAGGTACTTAACAACTTTTTTAAAACTTCCACACCGCACTTTACATCTGTACAATAATCTCGAAAGGGGGGGGGGGGTATTGCTAGGAAGCAATTGAAACGACAAAATTACAATGTAAAGTGTTGCAAATATTGCGTCTGTTAATGAGGGATAATGAAGAAATGTAATATCACTCAAACCCACTTTGCATCAGCTTTCAAATTCAATCTTTAACACGAAATCAATGGCATAGAAGGACCTGACAAATAAAACAAGACTAAAGTGAGAGTACGGGACAACTTTTCCACAGCTTCCATATGGACTTAACACCTGCTATTGTTAAGTTTTAAAATCTGGTTAAGTGAAGATACCTAAGAAGCAATAGGCAACTATGCCTTTTTATATATCTTCAACTGCATTGAAATACCAATTATCCAAAATGGCGTCATCCATACGTTGCATCGTCTTTCTTCAAATATATTTCTTTCTTCCTCCCACATATCCGAGTATGCACACCATTGTATGTGTCCTAACCTCATAACGTTAAAATTGTAAAATAAACGACGTTTGAAATTGTATTGTACTGAAGCGTTAGGGTAAACATAAGACATGGTTATTTTCCTAATGTTGAATGCCAACTTGTCCTAGTATACCACGATATTTTAATTTTTTTTTAAGTGAAGAAACAATATTATGATCATCTCGACTTATATTACTATACCAAAATGTAAATAATTCGTATGTATGCATAGTTTTTTAGTTTTGTTAAACATATATCAACAAATCAACTGCAATTGAAAACAACTAAAACAGATACAAATATTGAAATTGAAGTTTTATAAAATAAGTCGCATTAACCACTTGAATATTTTCGCGACATTATTATTTTTCACAAAAGGGTAAAGCAGAGAAAAGACTCTACTAAAAGCATCAGCAACAGTACAAATTATCACAAGAAGTAAACTTCTAAAACCTGTATTCATCAATTGTTTTGTTTACTAAGTTATTTGATAGTTAATTTAACAGACACTCATGAGTAATTGCTCCGCGCCACAGGCGTTGAGCTATTTGTGTGGGCTATTTTTCTTTGTCCATGGACCTGATTTTTATCAATTAATCCATATGATTTACAGCAAAAATAAATTCGGAATCAAGAACTCCTTCCTATTACTATTATGTAAAGTCATGTATTGCTTTCCAATTTGATAATTGGCAGCATGTCATATTAATGAATGAGTACGGGAAGAAATTTCACGCCTCAGTCGCAGGGAAAGCAGTATTACAGACAAAACAAAAAATAAACTGAAATTCGGAAATTTATTTCTTAAATTTGAATCCTCTACAGGACTTACTTATTATTTTTATAGTACACAATGGGTTATGTATGTATTTTAGTGTTGTACATGATTTCGAAAGCTATAATAGCTAGATGACTTTAACATTGTGAAAGACCGAAAATCTATTTATAGAAGTAGTTTGAGTCTAAACGAAACGGTCATTTGAGTCGCGCTATGGTTATAAATAACAAACTGTAGAATTTTGCAGGAAATGAAATGCAAACATATTCAACAATAAATTGCATTCTTTATAAATTTATCAGACCATTTTTTCAGGAATTGTAATATCATAGTACATTGTCTTATCATTTTGAAATTGTCTGTCCGGTATATAACTCCTATCTTTTCTACGGCCCTGATTGCACTTCTGACATTTTTACCGTCAATATTTAAATCGACCCTGATTTCTCGAATTTTTTTTGTAGGAAGTTGATTCTTTTTTTGTTTGAAGGTAATCGGTTTTATGTTGGTATGAGTAGAATGTTGATTTTCCGAATCGTATGTATGCATTTAAACATCAAAAACATCCGTCTGCAGTTTGAACATGAGGTGTTATGGGTTTTAAAGCAATTAAACAAAATAGTAGATTGTTTTGGCTTATTTACATATCAGGGTGAGCTTTTAGAATCGTTGAATGTCCGTCGTCTGTCGCCCGTCTTCAATCCACACTGTTCGTTAACACTCTAGCCGTCACATCTTTCACTCAATCATCATCAAACTTTGTCAGGATGCGTATCTAGGTAATAGCCCGGATAAGTTCGAACATGGGTTATCTCGAAAGAAAAAGTAGTACGTCACACTAGCTAAAAATAGAAAAACCTTGTTAACACTCTAGCGGTCTAACTTTTGACTCAATCATCATCAAACTTTGTCAGGATGCTTATCTAGGTAACAGCTCGAATGAGTTTGAACATGGGTAATCTCGGATAAAAAACTAGGTCGCAGGAGCTAAAAATAGAAAAACATGGTTAACACTCTAGCGGTCACAATTCTTCCTCAATCATCATCAAATTTGGTCAGTATGCTTATCTAGGTTATAGCTTAAATGAGTTTAAACAGTGGTAATCTCGGATGAAAAACTAGGTCACAGGAGCTTGAAATAGAAAAACATTATTAACAGTCTAGCTGTCACATTTTTGCCTCAATCATTAATTCTTGGTCAGGATGCTTATGGAGTGATGAGTTCGAACATGGGTCATCTCGAATGAAAAGCTAGGTCACAGAAGCTTAAATGAAAAACACAAACATTGTTAACACTCTAGCGGTCACATTTTTGACTCAATCATCATCAAACTTGGTCAGAATATTGTCTAGGTAATAACTTGGATGATATTGAACATAGGTCATATCGAATGAAAAACTAGGTCACATGAGCTAAATATAGAAGAAAAAAACATTGTTAACACTCTAGTGGTCACATTTTGACTCATTTATCATAAAACCTGGTCAGGATGCTTCTCTAGGTAAATGCTCGGATGAGCTCAAACATGGGTCGTCTCTTATGAAACACTAGGTCACAGGAGCTAAAAATAGAAAAATCGTGTTAACACTCTAGTGGCTACTGTTATGATCCAAATATCCTGGAAATTGGTCGGAAAGTTTGTTTTGATGATTCCTAGGTCCAGTTCGAATATGGGCCACCTGGGGTTAAAAACTAGGTCACACTACTCAAATATCGATAATCCTTGTTTACAATCTAGTGGTCACATTTTTGACACACCTGTCATGAAACTTGGTCAGAATGCTTGTCTATGTAATTGTTCGGATGAGTTCGATGGGTCAGGTGAGCGATCTAGGGCAATCTTGGCCCTTTTGTTTATATTTCTTACCATAATTAGTTGTTGATATTTGTAGAAAATGTAGAAAATTTGTAGCAGTATAGGTGAAAGACAAATGTACATGCTTTGATATTTTTTATCATGTTATACTACTGACAACAGTAGTTGCACAAACAGAACAATGTTGCGCTACTGTCATGACACATTACATTTACAAGTCTTGTTTATATTCAATGGAATTACTTTCCTTACCAGGTAGGCATCAGTGAAAGCATTTTTTTAATTGACAGTCCATACGATAAGTATAATTATGCAAAAAATGATTTACAAAAGAAAAAATAATGTACAATTATCTGAATAGAACATGATCAGTGCGTAGGAATGATCTTGTAAGGTATCTGTAATGAGCACATTTTTGCGCGGAGCTTCTCAATTGATGCATTGCAACAACATTTGTACTTGTATAGATAAGAACATTCATAAGAAAGCATTTATATCTATATTTGAAGAACTTAAGTCAGGAACTTGATATTACACTGTCTGGAACATTTTGACACTCAGTCTGTAGAACAAAATGTATATTTAATAAAGTTGGGACGCGTCTGCTTTTTTACAAAAACATGATAAGGACAGCTTAAAAAAGACTTTCTACATCTTTGTACATACTAATTTTAATGGATAAATATCTTGTATAAATTGTCATCGTGCATGAACATTTGAAATCCATACATCATAAATAGGAGATACCGAGGCAAACACAAAATATTTTTTTCGAAATAACATTTTAGAAAGTTTTGTAATATTCTTCATTTAACCCTTTACCTCATATATACGCGAAACAACGCATTTTCGACCCCTCTTCTTTTGGGCGTGAAATAGTAAAAAATGCCCTATTTAGGCCCCAAAGACTCTTTTTCGTTTGGAAAATGTTGTTAAAAAAGTGACCACTTTTTTGGCGCAGCCCCCCATCCAAATGATACACCAGGGAGTTGCCCCCTTTTGTTTGGGGGGGTTTGAAGGGGGCGGCAGTCCTCCTCATCACAAAGAGAATTTTGGACTTGTGACAGGCTAAAAATGACCTCATATCGATCATAAAGACACGTGTAACCAATGCTTAAAAACATTTGACTTTATCTCAATCCATTAAGAAGTTGCAGCACTTTGAAATCAATTTTGATGGAAAAAAATCAACGCAAAAAAAGTGATTTTTGGCAATTTTGAGATGTCCCCTCGTTGCCATGGTAACAGAAAATTTAATCCTTAGCATGCTGTTACAAAGACAATGGTGCAGTCAACATTTTTGCTAAGTTTGATTAGTATTGAAGCAGTTTTTATAGTTTTATAGCAATTTGAACTTGAACTTTATTTTCAATAAAAACAGCCATTTTTCGCAAAATGCTCATGAAGTAATGGGTTAATGTCGAAATGTTTTGTATAGATACTATTATTGAATGAGGTTTAATGTCATTGAAGTTCTTCAATAGCTTATCTG